ATGCAATAAAAAAATGTATATATTTATTAATTAGAAATTAATACTTTAAACAGAATCTAGAATCCTGAGTTGCTTTTACACAGATTAACTCTTTGTAGAATGACAATAGCAGTTAATGAGATAGGTTTCCATCGAAGTATTATTTTTAACTCCACCGTCGATGGTTTTCCCAAAAACCGTACAGCCTATACCTTTGAAATTATTACGTTTGAGACAGTCAATATCGGGAATATCCCTTGAACGTTTTTTTAATACTTCTCCCCGTCACGAGTTGAAATTGAATTAAACAAATATTGGTTATTTATTAGAATTGAAAATACAATAAAGAAATCGATAAACGGCCTAAAGTAAAACGTAACTTTTTCAATTCAACTATTTGACGAAATCACTTTCTTAACCTAACCTGTCATTGGCTTGTCATTATGATGACCGACCCAAATTCATTATAATAACAATACCTATAATTTCCACATGCCACTACAATTTATAGAAATTATAAAACGCAAAATAATGCTCATGTGTTCATTTTTTTAAACTAACTCGGAAGACCGAATTACTATAAAAAAATTATACTTCTATACATTGTAAAAGTAGTACAGTTATAAAGCGGAACAGTAAAGCAATACATATTGGAATAGTATTTAACCATTCATTTCAAGGCTAGTACAAAACATACAAAAAGTATCAAATACGAGTACAAGTCCACTGTAATATAAAAGTCGGTTCAATTTTTCCATAAAAGAAAAGACATTGAACATAATATTATGATGGCTTATTATTAGCTCATTTTCTGTGATTCTCTAAATATTCTCTTATCAGTTGTCTAGGAATTATAGATTTCCCCTCATAACCATCCTATCCCTTTCATTATTTTCTCCCTCTCTTTCCACATAGTGTCACAAAAGCGTTACTCAAATTTTCGAATTTAACTCAAGAGCAAAATATTAAGTAACATAATTTTTGAAAACTAAAAAACACTTGTTTCAACTAAATACAAAATATAATTTTATTGTAGAAACATAATTAAATCCTTCTTCTTTTTTTTGGTAACATAAAATTGTATACTTTATTTGTTAAAGTTTTGAACTCTATGGTATTTATTACCGTGAACATAATTTTGTACAGGTATTTTTATTGTTTTATTTTATTTATTGTTTGAACTTAAGTAATCGTTCACCAAAACAAAAATGTTTACATGAGACACTGTTTCATATAAAGTTTTAGCACTAAATACCAATTGAATAATCAAGATAAATGTATCTCGTTTAGTTATCTATAACTAAACGACGGCAATGTAATACAAATATAAAATGAACATAATATCAAAATGTGTACAACGTCAATCCCGCTTCGCCTCGAAACAAGACAAAAGCTTGGTTATCAATAATTTAACAACTTCAGCTATACCATTAAATTGTCGCGAATACCCAAGTAGACATGTAAAGTTTTAGTCAAACTTTATGGTTTACGATAATAATGCACGTTAGGAATTATCTAACGGAATAATTTAAAAAATCATTCTTCCGCTTGAATACGTTTGGATCGTTACTGTGAATGTTAATAAAAAACAATTATTGTGATATTTCAGTGTTATCATAAACCATACACGAATAATTACAAGACTTTAGTTGCTATAATTTTGTACTTGTTTGTAAAAACATTGAAAAATATTAAAGTTAATATGTACTTAAATCCGAAGGTCTAATTTCACATAATTTTGATTATCAAGCTAATTTATATACATTCATTAATTATATTTATGAATAATCACTGATTTGCTGATGTTTTGTTATTCTAAACCTTAACTAATAGTTGAATAGTTTTTTGTAGAAACAATAGTAAAACGTGAATGTATTAATTTATTTTATAAAGTTTATAGGATATTTATGTACATAATTAATACATTAATGGCAAATATGTGGTTCTTATTTCGTAGAAGAGTTCACCGTTGGCTACATTTCCAAGGTGTAACTAAAAACAATTGGCCGTCATGATAGTGATGTGGTATCAATGTTTTGAAGATAATTTCTCTTGTGTTCTAATGTATTCGGCAGTAAGTCTGCGGAAAAAGTTGCCTTGTTGGAAACTGGTTACATATTATATTTCATAGAAGACGGTGGTGAATAAAATCGCCAGCAAAAATTGAAATGTACACGTGCGATTGAACAAAATGCCCGTTGGCGTTGTGAGTACCAGACAAAGTGACTGTAGAGTGTAATTGTGTCAATATCGATGACGTCCATATCAAACATAATATAAACGAATTGATTTGATACCATCGGACGGTATTGCGGCGAATTTCAGGCAAACTGGGTTGTGAAGCGACTGTTTAATACAAATTCGCATAACATGAAACGACGACATTACAAAATGAGCCATTGTTACATCTTAATTTGTCGTCATTCAGTACTTCATTAATGTCGTTTGTTCGTTATCTCGTCATTATCTTATTTCCATATAATAAAACCGTACCCAACCGCTTTGCTAATGTTCTCTGAAATCCACACACATATCGACCGCACGCACAACCTCACTGTGAGTGACAGCGACACCGTCACCGTCAAGAATAGTAGTAGGTAATGGATCGGGTTGAAAGATAACTTTTTTAATTTGTTTTATTTATTTTGACGATGTAACTAGCCACTATAAAATATAACAATAGTCCGCGCCATGATTTTGATTAACGCGGTTATATATTGTTAATATTTTCAACAAATGAGAACGACACACCAGAATATATAATAATCTTATTAATCCGAATGTTCTTAAACAACTAATAGAATGCCTCTGTAACGGTTGGTGTGTTTATATACAAAAAAAAAGCATGCTGTAATTCCACAGTTTTGGCCATTATTCGCCTCTCTGACATTAAATTACAACAAGGACGTTACAAGTGGCTTACAGAACTCTAAAAGCCGGCATAATGATTGATACTCCGTCGTCGGTTCTTAAAATATGACAACAATAGTAATATATTTTAAGGGATTCGTTAAGTAATTTTTTTAAAAACTATAAAACTCGACGTAATCCTTTAATCTCCACAGCGAAAGTCCAAGACTCATTTTTAACCGACGCGTTAATGAATTGCTAATGTAATTTTTTACCAAAATTCAAAACTCTTTGAGTTTGTATAAAACGCGATTTTCGAGAGCAATTCCAGCAATTGGTATTTCGTTGTTAAAAAAATGTTTATCACTGCCAAATGTATTTTTATTTACTACTTCTTATAATCAGTGACCAAATGTCTTCAATTAAAACAAAAAATAAATATTGACTCATTATACATTATATTGTAAGTAAATATAGATAATAATATCTGCATGTGCAATATTAAGAAAAATTATAAAAGCATAATACTATTAAGAACCATTGATAGCCAAATAACGTCAACGGCGACAATAAACCTATTTATTTATGTTGTTTTTCCGAAAATGTTAAACGAAATGTAAAAACACGTGCAATAAGTATATTGGCCGGCTATGTTTGTAAGAAGGCAACCTATTTAAAAACAAGCGTTTGCAACGAATGGGTGATGTGGTACCAACAATGTTTTTGAAATAATATCTCTGTGTTTGGTGTCGCTTATTCGCCAATCTGCACAATCAATTCACTTGTTAAAAACCGGTCAACTATGATCTGTAGGAGATAAAGGTCAATATAACCACCAGAGTGATTTGAAATGGTTCAATTGATTGCGAAACTTGCAATTGAAGAGGACTGTTTAAGTATAGACATAAGTCAACCGAATTGGCCCCATTGCGACATGCGACATTCGACTTTCAGAGCAAAACCTGAAAGCAGCTTTTATGTGAAAGTACAGATAGCTACTTTGTACAACTTAGGGAGTGTATCAGTGCTTTATGGCTTGTTTCTTGTATAATACTTCAATGATAGTTGGATATCATCATGGAGAATTTATTATCTAATGTCAGGTCATTATTATTTCGAAAATATTTCGACTACTTATTGATATACGTTATTCATTGATAGACTAGAACTGTAAGCTGTATTTGTCGTTATTAGAAAATAAAACAATATTCTCTAGACCAGTTGCGCCAAGAAGGTTTTATAGTAAATTAAATGTACCGTGACATAAATTCTTTTCGAGGTATAGTAATTATATTTATAAAGGTAAAAAAACAGATTTTTGAACTTAATTTCACGTCATACTTACACAGTTAAAATAAATAGTTGTTGGCATATAAGCCCAATATCGTTAAGAACACAGTTAATGTTTGACACAATGTTTTAACGCTAACTCTGCAATTAAATGTGAAACAAAAAACACATGCAGCGTGTATTCATCAAGATATCACGTTTCGGTCTGTACTAAAAACGTTAGTTGTACTAAGAAAAGGCGAGAACTCATCCGTAACACGTATTCGCTTGAAGTTTTTAGCCATAACGAGTTTACTTGACAAGAATATATAATACACGAATATTGATATCTTACCTTTGTATGGCATCAACCCTATAATTTCTAAATTCCTCGAATATCAAGCAATTATTCCGTTTAACAATTAGTTTCCTACATGTTAACAAAAGGTCGCACGTCGAACTACACTATAATTTTCGAACGGCAATTTTTCAACAACAAAATATTTAAGTAGATATTTTCAGTTTCATACACACGTTATAATTAATTGTACTACTAGGGAGTCTAAAAAAAATCTTATAAACTAAACCAGCGAGTGATCCAATTAAAACGATTCTTTCAGTACCTCTCTGTCAGATAGCATTGATTGGCTATTTGACCAATATTAACTATATTGACTTTTATTAGTCTCCGTGATATAAATGGGAAAATTAAAAATTAAAATTCAAAAGGTTGATCTCGAGGACATTATTATCAAAACCGCAATAAATTTGTATCAGAAAATTTAGACACGGGATACCGTAAAATTATTGATTATTAGCCACCCAAAAAGTAAATTTGAGTGGATCGGTTGAATCGGATCACCTTTTATGTGCTACAAAATATGATTTATCGGTTTCTCTACCTTTGGACGGCACGGGTCGATGGCTGTAGCCGTTGTGGTTTTCGGTGGCGGTCAGCTCATCTAGTTCCGGTTGGTTCCAGACAAGCACGTGTCCCGAGGATTTTCTAACTCCGCAGTTGGACGGTCCGGGCGGGCTTCGCGCACTTCCGGCACCGCCGAACGACGATTCTGCCTCGACGACGGACTTGACACCGGACATAAGGCCCACGCCGGCCTCCTCCTCCTCGGACTCTATCCCGCCGCGGCCGCCTTCTCCATCCCATCTGCGGCCGGACATCAGCAAGGACCACCGCCCGACGATACCCTTTCACCAAAACCGGTAGAACACATTGGTCAGTCTGCCATTGTGCTTGTGCTATCTAATCATTTTCATCAACCAAAACGAATCTAGTTACTATACACATTCCATTTAAAATTGCAAGTAAACCGTTATGTTCAATTTTACCAAAGCACTTGACACTCAAACGCGCACAAGAGTCACACCCCGTAATGGCACCGGTACAAGGGAGATTCTGCATGCTCATAGGTTATATTTTAATAGCAGCTACTTCGACAGCATGACTTAATCTAAAAACTTAAGAGGCCTTTTCCGTCAAATTAAGCTACTATGATTGACGAATTAGGCATTTTCAACGTAATCTCGAAAGTCTAAACTCGGATGCCGATTAAAGTCCTATGTTTTTAAGCCAAAGACGTTATCATTTTAAGTTAATAATCTGTTAATTAAAAAAAAACTTGGGATGTTATAGTGTTATGGTATAACATATATGTTCTCCGGTCCTTTAAAAATTTCTTAACACATTATCGTCGTTACGATTCGCAGAACGATCAGCAAACGGAGTCTTTTAAAATTGAAGTATTGATCTTAATTCAGAGGCCTGGCCACTACGTCGCCTTCAATTTGGCGTAAAAGCATTACTATTTTGATGGAAACCTATCAAATAACTGGCTAACGCAATAATGTATACAATGTATAAACAACGGTTGGAGTACTTACGTTCAAAGTTTACACGGCTGTAAGAGCATTTGCTATCTAAACTTGCACCGAATAAACTAATTAACCAGCCGGTTATAATAAAAGCGTTTTATTAGATTATCATGGAGGCGGAACGTTCAATTACAACAACATGAAAACTTATAGATGATTATTATGTGCGAACAAAGTGAAAACGCTATAATAAATTTACCTAACGCTGTGTAGAAACCTAAGGCTTATATTCTAGTATTAAGGCTTATATTAAAAAAAAACAAAGGAATATTTGCCAACAATTAATGTAGTAATTAGAGCGATTTTAGCACATTAAAGCACAACATCCGAGTGACTATAAACATAAAAATTTGCTCATGACTTTTCGCGTATGACAGTCGGAATAAAATATGTCTGTTGTTTAGTAAAATGTAATTATTTACACAGAAAATATGTCTTTAGAAATGTATTCTATTTGTGTGTACCGTGTTTCGGTGTAACGACTGAAGTATACTACTAGAAATTGAAAGTTATTAAATTTAATATTACACTCGTTGTGTGCTTAAAAAAAACAGTGCGATCTACCTATTTACCTGCAGTTTAACCTCTAATAATGTATTCCCGTTTCAATATCACTCGTTTGACTTACACGACACTACAGCTCGAGGTCATACGCAGTTATTGGCCATTCCAATCTAATGAACTGTTTGCAAGACATAGGTAGAACGGGGTTTCATCGAGATTGCGTTTGGAGGAAAAGCCTAGGGGATTTTTGACGGTTGTCGACGCGACAAGGAGTATGACTGACAACGGGACAAATTGGCCAGAGACCCTGATCGTGTAATCGATAAACGACAATCTCTAAGACGCGGTATCATGACAAGTAGCCTAGTCAAAATGTTTGAAAAACTGTAGTACACGTGGTAGAAAAATGTAAGATTATGGAATTAATAAGGTAATATTTTTGTTAAGTTTACCTTTTCTGTGGGTAATCGATAGGTTAACAAACACGGCACACCGGTAATTAATTTACCTGCGAGCTACCGCCAGAGTGCAAAAAAAAAACAATTAAACCGTATCAGCCGGACACTGGCACAAACATGACAATAGAAGCAAGTCAAAATGAAGGATTGGATCCTCTGATGCATATGGGGTGGTCAAACGACTAGCGCAAACATTGAATCAACAAGCTAGCTATGTAATTAAGCCGCTGTCAAAAAAAGCAAACGGCGGTGGTCACTCTATAATGATTGGTTTTTGTTTGGCGCTCTAATGCTCGTTTTTTTTACCCGGTTCTTTTTGGACAGGAAACCCATTGAGTCACGCGTCGAAGCCTTTGTCGCAATAATAGTAGACATTTAAAAGTACAACAATTACTAAAACAACGCGAAAACAATCTATAATTTGTATTATTATTCTTTTTTAATATTTATTATTCATGATTCGGAAAAATTTTAGACCTCGAATAAGACAATATGAAAAATGTTCTCTTAATATTGCTTTGGAATATTTTTTCCTGCGATTAACATCATCATTTGGAATGGATAAAACTTATTATACACATTGTAGACGTTGTACCGGCGATACAACTGCAAAACTACGGTCGAATTGGTTTGCAGAGATTGCACTTCGACTGAGAAGATAGGACCGGCGATACGGTGCTAAAATATTAAATACATCTAACACAGACACCAGATCCGAAACTGGTGTGTTTACAAAGTAAATTGTACGGTTTTCACAATAACAATAATGACGACGACGGGGTGAAAGTCATTGTTTGCGCGCTCGCCCGAACAAGTTTTGTTTTTCAGTGGGAATAATTTGAAGCAACAACAATCAAACTTTGCACAAGTTTCTCAAACGTTCGCTTACAATAGGCCGTCTTTTTATTTGTACAACACTTGTGTTGCGTTATGTGTGTAAAAAAGTACTCGGCTGTGTTTTTTTAGTCGATATCGTTTAACTTTTTACAACGTGTGGGTGTCCGTCTTAAAGGGATGTATGTGACAAACGACTATAGAAATATTCAAAACCGGTAATGGTCCGTGTCACCGAGAAACCACTGTTCCTAATTTGGACTTCCCATAATACCTCATTTTCGTAGAAAATCCCACGGGGAGAATTGTCCTTCCCACCCCTTCGGCCTTCTCTACTCCCGAGCCTACCACTGGCGGCTTAGCCAAAGCTAATTAAATTCCTATCAAATTCCGCTGCGGTTTTTTGTACAAATGGTCTAACACGGTTGCCAACGGTTCAGGGTTGCCGTGACAGACTTTTATTTTGGCCATACAGCAAACGGTTTAAACGGAACAATTTACTCTCGTTAGCCGTTTCACCGTTAATAATTTATACTTATCTCCCAACGTACATTGGCTACCTTACTACCCGAACCAATATTGTCCATAATCGCCCCTCCCCCTCCTCTTGATCCTCAAACGACTCCTTAAACACCACACCGAAGTCCCAATTAATAAATACTGCGACAATGTGGACTTTGGTTGTTTGGAATCTATTTTCCATACATTTTTAGGCTGTTTTCAATTTCCGAATAAACGTAAACTGCGAGAAACGAAACTTACATTCACAATTAGAATTAAAAATTTAACAAACGAGGAAAAATAATTGTAATTCGGTTATTAAAAATTATGAACTCGTTTTGAACTCGCTTGAGTACATTACTATGATGATAAATTTTACAAAATTAAAAGAGCAATTTAATTTTTGTTTACACTGCGTCGTTCTAAAGTTTTAAACGGTAATAATTATCTTTTCGTTTATCAGAAGAGGAAAAAAGAAAAAAAAGAAGATATTTCCTTACAACGTATATATATAATATATATATATATATATATATATATAAGGACGGACGTCCAGTTACGAGCAATCCAGACAGACAGTGGAAACAGGGTGGGGGGGAGAGTTGTTTCTACTATGGCTTAGCCGTCTGTAAACGTGCGACGGAAATGCGAAAATAAATATAAACCTTCGTGTACGTTGCCATAAACGCAAGAAGAGGAAAGTCGTCGTGCCGAGTCTCAATTATTGACACTAGAGGAACAGGAGGTAGTCCTCCCCTCGACCCCTGAATTCCCCCCAACCAACATAGGTCATAAAAATACTCTTCGATTGCTCTCTGCCCGTTCTTTCCATCCGTTTCCTTCGAACAAAACGTCGACGTATGTGATAAAGTAAGGTACAGCACCAACGCAATTCGAAGGGGGATCATTAAGAAAACCCAATTGAGTCGACACCTGCAGCAGCTGCTACAATCGGCACACAATTATTATTTTCGTACTATTCAACGGTATCGCTGCAAAAAAAAATCCCAGAACCGTTTTTTTTTTTTTTTTATATATTACTTTTTATCCCCAACTCGTATTTAATAGTATTGATCACCCACGCGACACACTATAATCAAAAACATAATACGTGAGACAAATATTAACAATAATGATATATCCGCTTTTGACAGCTGCACAACACGGCCAGTACAAAGTGATTCATTAAGGATAAGACGCTCGTTTGTATGTTAAAACGATTGCAGTTTTGTAGTTTTTCTCTGTGAAAATATTTTCGTTTATGTTATTTGGCAAAAATATAAAATTACTAAATATCCTTTAGTATTTTTCAGAGCTCTGTAGACTATTCAAAACTTAAAACGGTGACGTATAATATATTTAACCGATTGTTCAAATTAAGATGAATATGCCAAAAGACGGTAAAACTGGAAAAATAGTAATATTGACTTATACCCTTTGGTCAAACACAACAGAACTATATTATCATCGACTCGGTTGTACTCTTATAGTTCTGTCTTAAATTACGATACCGAGTATACATAGTGGCGTTTGTAGAGTGAAAAAACAATACCGTCGAAAATTATAAACTTCAAACTATAACCAAATACACAGGGGGATGACAATGGTCGTGTCTCTGATCGTAAGTACTATATTCGCGCGGTTATCCGGCGTCAAAAGATCTTGCACGCCGGTTGCCGCCGGAAGGGGAAGTTCACCTTACAGACAAGCGACAGGTAATGAGTTTGACAGCAATATTTATTATTATCATTATGAATGCGTTGCTCGCCCGTGTCGCGTTGAAGCGTTGTGCGCATAATACATACATAATCGCCGTAGGGGACGACTTAACCCCCCCCCCCCCAAAAAAAAAAAACAAAACACACACACATACGATAAGCCGAGTTGACTCCGTGCCAGGAATTGCGTTCGGCGTTTCATTAAAGACACGGTAACCGGTCAAAATTTGACAAAAATAGTGCTGCAAAGAATTTGGAACACGTGTCAACGGCGGACGACAACGGCGTTAAATAAAATATATTATACATGAATACAACATTGTGTACAGTCGTGCGGTTTTTTTTTATTAACACCGTAACCCGTTCATGTCTATGTGAGAGAATAGCATAATATTAAAGGGGTGAGTTGAAAACGATTACCATATTACGGTGGAAGGTGAGAACAAAAAAAAAACCACAATTTTCTACGTCTGTCCCCGGAAGCGTTGTTTTTACCATCAAGCCGGATAGTTCAAAACATAAAAAAAACCGTTGTTTTTGTAACACATAATATTGCGTCTATTTAAAAAACAAACAATTATATTTTACAACAATTCAAACGTCCAAAATGTGATTTTAATAAAATAGCTTGGGTACAATTATTTTGTGAAATTTTCTTCTTACGCGCACAACGCCTTGCTAAAATACATATCAAACGGTCAAAGTACGATAAAACTCGCGTAAACCGATGGTTTTTGTTTTTTTTTTTTTTTTTTTTTTAGAAGCAAACGAAACGGTCTCCGAGGACCTTAAGCCGGGCTTAAATAGTCCCACGAATCCCCTACGATAACGGCCATAAAGTAATTCATATTTCACCGCAATCGATTGAGAAATAAAATATGGTCGTTCCCGTAAAACGATATTATACATCATTCGAAAGCATTTATTTTTATTTTTCAGCAAACAAAAATTTCACCGAGGCGACAAAGTGCGTGCCTAAGAACGTTTACGTGCCGTTTTTTTTTCTTTTTTCACACACATATCATACATTTAACGGTCTACGACATTACATAATACACATTATTGTGGAGTCTATGCAAAATCATATCGTTAACAAATGTTGACGTTAATCAGTGTATTGTTTAGATAACAACGGAAAGGAATCGCTGTGATGGATTTATATTTTACATATAATAATATATGCCTACACATCATATCCCTATTTATGGCAGACCCATTTATTTAATCACTGAACCCTAGTAATTATATCGCGCATTATTAAATGGGCCGGCATGAACATAAAAAAAACTCCATTCGACCAAGTAAACATCAAAATAGACATTAATACAATAAACGTGAATTTTTTTGTGAACAACGACTTTTTTAATTTTAGGCAACCGAAACACAACGTCTCAGGGCATAGAAAATTGTATTATTGTAATCACCTTGTACATTATGTTAACTGTTAAAACAAAAACTGGAGAATACATCGGAAAACGACGCATAAAATGCTCGAGCTTTAAATACCGTAAAATAGGAAACGTCAAGGCAAATTATTATTCTACAGCCAAAGTCTAAAAAAGCAAGTCCCAAAACTCCAATTAGTTCATAATAACGACGCGCAAGCTACCAAAATGTAAAAATGTCTATAAAATGTGATTGAACTGTTAAAGTTCCAATTTTTTTTTTTCACTAAACATAGATAACGCTGTTATATTATCGATTAAAGACGAAGGACTTCCAAAGTAAGCGCATTGTAAACCTTATGATGAAATATTAGGCAAAGCTTACTGCTAAACGTTGCTTTTAAAAACAAATACTCTTTCAATGACCCGAGGTTGATTAGATTAATGTCGATAATGATACCTATCTACTTAAAACAGACCACGTGTCGGGGCCAAGTTGTTTGTTGTGATAAAATCAAGGAAGAGAAAATATATTGTTGGTAAAATGATTTTTTTATTTTACTCGATAGGAACTTCAATTAAAAATTCTACGTCGACCGACGTGCCCGCCAGTTAAGTGATCGGTTGTCTTGAGATCTAGGACTTCCGTTTATCATTTTCTATGACGAATATTTAGGATAGTGTTATAAATTATAATACTTTTAGTTACTTTTCTAACAATATCGGACGAATAGGAAAAAAATAATAATACACGAGGGCGCGTCGTCAATCGATTCGACGGCGTTGGCGGCCAACATAAAACAGTATAATATTAGCTATTATCATTTATTTTACGACGATATCATTATGTTTATTATTTTAAAAAATGATATGCTAAGTTTATACAGTTTTATGCAGTTTTGAAACTAAACCATTTTACAAATAATTAAAAACGGTAAAAAAATTTTCTATTGTAAACGTTTTTATTTTTCAAAACGGTGTAATATTATAAAAACGATTTAGAAATGTTTAAATGGTAATAGACAAATTAGAAAATCAAAACAGTTTAGTTTGTTAACGTTTTTTTTTTAGAAATCTAGTTAATATTGAATGTCGTGTAACGTTTGGCAAGTGCTTTGGAGGATAACTATAATTTTTTTTCTAAACATTTGGTCGGTTTCACCGAGTGTGTGCGGTTTGGGTATGGCATGAGACTTAATCTGATGCGATACGCAATAACTCTTTCGGTTAGCCCGTTGGTGGTCAAGCGCTTGTCAACGCTCGGTGAAACCGAATAGTAATAATAACAGTTATGATATAGTTACACAGTATGTGGACGACGGCGAACCGCTTAAGTTCAGATACGGTCGGCGGACCGGTGCCGGTGGCGCGAAGTAGTCGACCGACGACGGCGGCTGCACCACATGTCGACGAAATACGGCGACGGCGGCAAAAGCAGACACACACACACACTGTCACACACACACACACACAGGCACAGGTACAAAGCGGGTAAACCGACGATTTCGGCGTCCGGGGGGTAAGTGCGAGTGATTGGCGCGCTCGACGGCAGCGGCAGCACACTGTCAGACGCACGCTCGCGAGCGGACAGAAGCACGCACACGATTTGGTCTGCACACTCACCGGGTGCTGCTGGATAGCGCACAGGGCCGCGGCGGACTGCAGCGGCGGTTTCGCCGCCGGTACGGCCGTCGCGCGGCCCGGCGGCGCTTGCGTGCTCTAGGCGTATCGATCGCGTCGTCCGCCGTCCATCGCCGCCACCGCCAAAGTCCCCTCACACCGGGCTGCCGTAATGCATGTACCGGTGTGCATGGCCTCGCGGTACGTCTGTCGCCACTAGACCCCCTAACGAAATCTCGGCGTGTACACGGTACACACACGTGGATTCAATCATACCCGTCATCTTGGGTGTCTTCCCTATCGCCACTGGCACCCGTTTAAGGAAACGTCCATTGCGACAGGATTACCGATAAAAGCACGGGAAGGAAAAAGTCGCTTAAAAGGCTGCCAGTTTTCTCGGGATAAAATAATTTAATAGATAATCGACGGTAAATTATCGCTTGGCTTTTGTCTAAAACAAATAAATATTTTCCCTAAAATCTACGGATAACATATTGTTTTTTTAATGTATTTCCAAATAGGTTTTCATTTCCTGTCACTTGCAAAACAAGATACAAATAAACGAGAAGCACCAAACTGATTATATGGAACGCACGTTGCTATAGTCGATTTACGTATAGTTGTTTATTGAAACAGTTAAATTAACATAAACAATTTTACAGTTTACTATTCTACTATACTAGAATAAAACCCTACCAGGGTTGGACATTTTTTTAATCTGGTGTTTAGTTCAGTGACGAATAGTGAAGATAGAAACTATTTATATCTAGGGGTTCAAGTCACGGCTCCTAAAAAAGGCAATAATAATAAGACTGACTATATAATAATTAATATATGTGATAACGGAGGAAAAAATAACGAAAACTTAAAAATTAATAATAATCAAACGGATCAAAATATGTTGTTAAGGTAATAAAACAAAGGGATACTGAAAGAATTAATTTCGAAAGAATTAATGGTCATAACTCATATGAAGGGCACAGGGGAAAAACGGTAGTTGTCACATTATAACAATTTTAGAGTATAGCAAAAACGTTCGTGAATTCCTCTACCTCTTACATAAGAACAAAAAAAATCACAATAACTGCTACTCTAATAATAAATGTATTTATTTAAACAATCTATTGACATAAATAAAAAAAATTATTGGCATAAATTGAAAAAAAAACTATTTGAAAAAAAAAAATTCATAATGTGACTACTACCGTTTTTCCCCTGTTTCCTTCATATATTATCTAATATCACTTGTTAGTCATGTTCACTTTTTTAAAATTTACTCAACCAATAACATGATTTTAGCTTAGACGTCAATCCATGTTAGACCAAAACAATAAGCGGCACCACCTATTGCTGTTATTGAGTTAAGCAAAAAAAACACTGATTTACAACACCCCAAATGGTTAAATAGTTTCAATTTTAAGTACAAAAGTACACAACATCGACAATTGCAAACTAGATGGTGCCTCATTACATTGTATACTTCAATAGAATACTTAGCATAAGCGCTCAACTGTCATGCCCAATTGGTTAGTCATCAATCTCGATCAAACTACTGACGATGACACATTATCGTAACCACGATAAGATAGATGATAGATTCATGGTACCGCCTAATACACGGTAAACGGTAATCAATTGGGTATCAGTTGTGATTTTTGGAAAATAAGGGGAATTAAATATTATTAATTTTACGCCTAAACTATAAATTCAGTAGGTACTCGAATCTGAGATAACGCCTTTTGTCCAAGCCTGCCAAGGTATGAAGAAAACAAAAAAACAAAATTGCTGAAGCTTAGAAAAAGAAGCGGACCTAACGGTAAATCACTGCAGCTGACAAATGGTCACCATGCCACGCGTTGTATTGTTCTTGAAACCCAAAACCGTTCCTATTACAAAAAAAAAGTTACTATGATAAGCGACCAATGAAAATATTCACATCTGTTCAAAAACCTCAAAGGCTTTATTGGACAACATCATCTCTGTTGAAAACAAAGCTTGTAGATTGAAAGCACTTTGAGCGTGGTTGCAGACCTGCTCAGTTATTACACAAGCCCAGTTTAAGCCCTAAGCCGCACATTCAATTAGTAAAGGATCATCTCAATAAGACTCCCGTTAAGTTGAATTGAGATCAATAAATACTATATTGAATTGAAGAATTATACCATGGCATTACATGACAATTCGATTTTAATAGAAAAAATTCAATTACACAGCCCTTCAAAAAAAAAGGTATGTATATTTTCCGACGGACATCACTAGTCAATTTTTACTTATTTGAGTCGCTGAATCTGAATTCTAGGTCGGAATTATATTAGTTAGCTTTTGTTTTTTTTCGTGACCATCAAAACATTGAAAAAAGTGCTAACTCCGGCCTAGGAATCGGGTTCAGTGACTCAATAATAATATTTAACTAGTACGGTTTGTCGGGCAAACCTATACTTTATTTAAGGGGCTGTTTTATTTTTATATGCTCTGCCAATTATTATTTAATGAATAAAACGCAGTTGAAACTACTTGACCTGGGTATTTACCAAAACAAAATGTTTTTATATATTTTTGGCTGTCAAAAGTTTATGCAATGTGGTAAAATATAATACTATTTTAAAATAAGGGAGAGTACGCGGAGAGTCGCGTACGACTCGGGTTGAGTATTTTGCATATTTTATTCCAGAACTTATCTCGGTATGTCTTACTCTGGTTCTCTCTTTTTGTATTCCAAATTCTTTTCGATTCCAGACCTTTTATAATCAAGAGTCACTTGACTGCTAACCACTGTGAGAAACAATAAATTTAACATATTTTATATAAAGCTTTTTCGTTTATTATTCTCTAAAGCTAATTAAAATCGTTGCACGTCAAACGATAATTTAAACCGTAAAGCATTTAACAGTAGGTATTTAATACAATTACTTTCGTTTATTGTATATTTTACTGAATGTAGGGCAAGCCCTAAGCACAAAAGTCGGAAATAAAAAACGTTTGTTTTGAGGATTTTCTCGCTTCCTTTTTGAACGGATTAGGCAGAATTCTCGCACAAAATAGCAAAATACAATAAACAAACAAAGCATAACAGCTGTAAGTACCATGATAATAATGTAATAATAATATGACCCGTAACAACAGCTGTTATACGAGCAAGGCCTATTACGTGTCGGGCGGTACTGAATACATAAGTTTTAGTTCTGGTTAAAAATTAAAAAAAAAAAAACTCTAACAACAGCGGTATAATAACAATTGTTTTTGGATTGCAAATGATACGACGGTACCGTTTATCGATTTCAAAATTAATAATTTATTATTATTATTATTACTATAAAGCTGTCTCTGTAATTTTAACCGTTCTTCGACAACACTATACTCTATTTTTTATTGACTATTTCATAAGACGTTACTTCGTTAGCTTTGACCCGCCGTCATACCCAAATTGTTTTTTACAACAACGGCTTAGCACATCGTTAGCAGCTCCACTCCTCAAAACTCATCGCGGACCATTGAGTGGGCTTTGGACGGTCGCATTTATATAAATAGTGCTTTATCATGGTACTTGTATAACGCACACGTATAGCTATGTATTTATGTACATAATAGACTGCTCTGCTGACCGATATCATTAGCGAAACTGAATGATTTAGTCTGTCGTTTGCGTCCAATAATTGTTTGCCATAAACGACGGTTAAAGGGATCGGCACAAGAGGGGCTAAACCCTGTATAAATTATTAAGCAGAATACTATTATTATATTATTATACCTAACCTAACCTACTAAGTCCACAATTTTCTACAACGGTTTGGTATCAGTTAGTTTTACATACTCAAATGTCAACGCATTTTTTAGTGCGGATTTCCTCTCATAAACATATTCCATGGACGACAAAAAACGGTTTGTATTGAATCGCTAACATTATTATTATCATTATATGGTTAATGAGCGCGACGAATCTACACGCTATAATATCCATAACTCCTCTGCTTAGCCAAAAATGACCATACTGCTCTACACTCCGCCTTGCCCTTTAATTGTTTGACGAGCCGCCACTCGTTTACTTACACATTTACATTAGTATTAGTACAAGGTAAACCACTCGTATACACCTACTTCGGCCGTGTAAAGTCAAAAGTGTTATGCTACCGAGTGTACTTAAGTGTGTGTAGACATCATATACATACTTAGGGGCAACATTATATCATCAAGAGAACTCTCCGACGTCTTTAAATAAAGTTAACATACATGCAGTTTTGTCATTGGCACGTCTGAACATCAAAGTAATAATGATAATTTATTTTGATAGCGCGCAGTTTTTGTTTTGTGTTACACAGGTAAGTTTGTTTATTTGCTGGCATGACGTTATTTCGGGTAATGTTCGGTTTGTGTACGTTCTAGTTTTGTACATAATGACATATTGAACCGGACACTGAGTGGGCGATCGAACCAACGAACGTCGGTCGAGGTCCCCAAAGAATACATGTTTATTAAGCTCGGATGTTACGAAAATTGGCACACGGACTAGCGGAGGGCGTACAATATAATCCGTTATTAAATCGGCCATTAAGTCTGCCATCGACCTGTTGGAATCTGAGAAGGGTTTGATTTTTGGACTTTTGGAGTCGCTGTAGGTTTCGAAACGCGTTAGCCCTTAGTAATTATTATTATTGTTGTTCCTGGTAGCACAACCCACAATCCTGAAAAGAAAAACATCTTGCGGGTAATTCACATTTATAAACTGAACACTCAAACTAAACATCCATGTTTTTCTGAGCTTGCAGAGAGAAGTATTCTGAATATAAGCTAAAGCCATATAGAGATACGTATGCTGTCTTTGGTTTCAGTAAGCTAAAGAAGAGTAAACCAAAGTCCAATGACTCCAGATTTTTATAATATTTGCATATGCTATATGCCACCTTTCTTGTCATGTCTTGATATTATTCGTACTATATTTGTCGTTTATTGGCAAAGTTGGGTTAGGTACAAAAAATTATCCACGTTTGTTATCGGTTAGATGGTTTATTGCTAAATCAATAAAGTAAAAA